GGCCATCCTCCACCACTGATAGCCACCGTCCGCCGCAGTGAGCCGCCATCGGAAGTCGCTCCCGCTGCACAAACTCGTCGGAGTCCACCCGTGCCCAGCCTATCACAGCCGCGCACCGCCAGGCCCAGGCGCACGTTCCCAGCACATCCAAGCGACACCCAGGAACGACCATGTGAGCTCCCAGCGCTGCCTGTATGCTTGCGTGCATCATTGATGCACGCCACGTACGCGCTTCGCTTTCCTGCACGTTGTCTGCCTTGCCTAATACACCCGAGCACTTGTCCGCCCAGGCATAGAAAAGCCACAACACGCGCCACCAGCAAGCGATCAACTCTCGCAGGACAGCGTCAGTTCGTGTCCGTTTAGGAGTCCCACTATGCATGCGCACGACGATCTCGTGCCTGCTTGCGCCCGTTCACCGATCTGCGAATCACACCCCGACGCGCGCTCGATCACGCGTCTGCGCCCACTTCGTGTGAGCTGACCCATAGCAACTGCGACCATCGTCTGTGACCAGCGACAAGGACCTGGCCGAGCCATTGCGACCTGACACCGAGACGAATCGAGCTTGATTCTGTGCTTCATTCAACAACTCGATTAGGATCAAGAAAAGGCCAAATCCGTCAGCCCATCGGTATGTGGTGTTCAGATGAGCTTCATCAATGGAATTCAAAAACGTCTATGAGTCGGTTAAAATTTTTAAAAGGTAATGTCCAGATCCTATGTAACACCCCGCTTTTCCATAAATATCAGAGTGCATTTTTTCGCAAAACTTTTCTTTATAAAACATATTTATTTGAGAAATCCTTTTCGGGATACTACTAAAAACCATTCGTTACTTTGAAAACCCGTTATCATAATTTACATTTAGCTTGTAAAGAGAACCGAATTATTTTAAATCGACTAGCATGTGATACTTTATAAAAGTCTAGCCGATAAATCGGATCAACATATAATAACTGACATGCAAATAGAAAAGTCGTAAAATGACAGCGGGAGTTAAACGTGGTAAAACATAACTGTACAATAATGTACAAAGGCTGGTAGCCAAATCCTTGACCACGAACCACCAATCCAGCTCACTCCTCATGTCCAACTCTGTAACCTGAAAAACATAGAAATCGTAGGGCGTGAGCACTAAAAGCCACTATGCTCCGCAGGAACTCATACTAAAGTAAACATCAATAATAATTGCAATATCATGATCCTGGCATATACATATACCTCAATGGTACCCAGCATATCGGTACCTCGTAAACATCATATAACCTCAATAGTACCCAGCGTACCAGTACCTCGTAAACATCACATAACCATAACATAGCATAACATAGCATAGCATATCATGGCATGGCATAGCATAGCAGGGCATAGCATAGCATGGTTGTGGCATAGTTGTATCTGCCAACACAATGTGTTGGACACCATGTGCAGACTCTAGTAGGCAGATATAACCACTAGAACTCAAAATGGACTTACGGCACCTGGACCGGCCACCATTCTAAGTGGGTACCTCGCATTGCATGATACATACCTCAAACATGGTAGTTATAATTATAATCAATGTAATACCCAGTCTGAGTTCCCACTTGAACTGCTGATCTGAAAATGTAAGTGCTGATAGCCTCGAACTGTTCAAACTGTAACATATATAATTAAATACTAAGTACTATGTCAGATTTATTAAAATAGCTGCTAAGATGCTCNNNGATCTGATGACTTAACTGGATTTATTGACATGAACTAAGTCTTAACATAGACTGACTTGAACATAACTGAAATTACTGAAATGGACTGACTTAACTGGTAACTTAACTGATTTCATTAAACTGACTGACTAGACCCAGAACTTAACTGGAATATCTGCCATAACTTGGATCGGATCAAAATAATATTAAAATATAGAAATAACCAATCTGAACCGGCCGGTTCGCTGGTTGGCCGGACCGCCGGCTTACTGTGGCCAACCAGCTCGGTCCCGCGCTGGGCCTACTAATGCCCGGGCGCGGTCGCGTGACTGATGCTGGGCTTGGCTTGGCGCTGTCGGGCCTTACCGGGCACAACTGGGCACAATCGCACGCTCAGCTAGGCGTGGGCTACACGCCGTCGGGAGCTGCTGGCATGGCTGGGCACGGTCAGGCACAACCGTGCATGCTGGCGTGCCACTAGGCACGGCCGGCATTGTTTGGGCATGACTGGGCGCTATCGGGCGTTAGCCCGTGCACCACTAGGCTCAGGGCATGGGAATTGGACCCGTGGCTTGGCGTTGAGACGTTGCCGGGCGCTGTGGGTGCCGGCACTTGCGCGTACTGGCACTGCGACTGGTACATGAACGCACGAACTGGCATGGACTGGTACCGCTCGGGCGCTTCCGGGCGACCCTGACGGTACTTGGCGCTCAGGCGTGCTGTCGGGCACCGGCCGAGGCCAACTGGCATGCGATTGGGCGCACTGGCGTGCGCTGTGATGTGCTGGTGTGCACTAGCACTGGCCAACTATCGACTGCTGTGGGTAGGGCTACTCGCGATGCCCGACTGGGCGCACGCAAGTCACCTGCCCGACCTCACCTGACTGCCGGTGTGTTGCGCCCGCTGTGTGCGGGTAGGGTGACTACGACCGGCCCTTGCCGACCGTCCGGCCTTTTCTTCCGGCAACTAATACTTGGATCTATGTAATATAACATGACATGAACAAACATACATAAATCCTCTGGAAGATTATGAACCTAATTTAAAATGGCCCGATAGGGCATAAATCGGCCGTGGCGTGCGCTATGTGCACGGCCATGACTTCGACCGATCCTTTCGGCCGTTCAATAACCTCTCCTGACAGTTTAGACATAAATGAGCATAACATAACTTATAATGACCAATGGAACATGAATTGCACGAGAGTTGCTGAATCAAAATGAACATGGGTCGGCACGACCTAAATGGCACATTCGAGTATTAACTTGGCTTCTACATGGACCGAATAACATGACTTGAACCTAATGTGCATAACATGAACATATTAATATTAAAAGAGGATAAAAAATAAGGTTACCACTTCAATCACTCGAAGAAAATTACTAGGCTTTGCGTTCGCTTGTGACCGTTCGGTAGCCGTGCGTGCGTGCATTCTCCTTAGCAATAATTACAGCAAGTTAACCTCTCTTAATCTTCTCTTAACTCACGACTTAAGCTCGGTTTTATGGCTGAATAAGGAGAATTGTCATAATATAGGCTAAGTAAACTTTTAATAAATTCTTCTCTATACTCAAGAAAGGCTATTGATATTAGAATATATAAGCTCTCTCTCTCGGTTACCGAATATCTGAAAAGAAACTAGCAGATCTTAAATGCATGGAATAAAAATGAAGTAAATTACTTTCTAATCTGATGCCAAACTATTAATATTTGAAATAGTCAAGAGAAAAATGGGGGCAAAAGGATTTCTCTGAAACTATCCTCATAGCACGTGTCCAGCCACTAAGCGTTCTCTTTAACTCTTGGTGTAACACATGCCCAAGCATATTAAGCTTAGATATATTTAAAAATTCACATGATCTAGGCTAAATTTTTGTGCCCGGCAATATTGGACTAGGCATAATGAGCGTGGCACAAATGGCTTGATACGGCTCTTTTGGCTATATTTGCTCAATTCTGATTGCGGCTTAAGTGATTAATCCAAATATTTATATTTTAAATAATTCGTTGTAAGCTTATTAATTCGAACTCATTTATTAAATAAACAAATTGGAATTAAATTTGGAAACTTATCCGGTTATTGAAATAATTAAACCGAATACTTATCGATTAATAGTCGAACTTTAACTGAAACTCAATAACTGGCTTGAACTCAACTTTTGACGATTAATCGAATAGTCACAAATTCAATTAATACGTCAATACTGGATTAATTAATCCCAACTCGCTGATGTCCATTTATTAAATAAATGGACTGAGATTAATTATTATCTTTTGACTCGGTTAATAAATAAAATTAACTGGATATATTTTTGACTTAACGTCTAACTTGAAATTTAATTAGCTGAATAACTTTGACTTTACATTTACATGAATATTTATTAACAAAGGGTAGCTTATATTTAAAAGCTAGTATCTTTCCTTTATTAATAAAATACGGGGCGTTACATCCTATCTGTAGGTTCCGCTGCATTAGGATTTATTTCGATAAGTTCAATACTATGCATGTCGTTGACGTTCTTAATAGAACCCAACAACTGGTATCAGAGCCATGATTAAATTCAATTTTGTGCACAATTTGAATTTGGACTTGCCTGTCTACATGAATTAATTGGGTACGGACGCAGCGGCATAGTAGATTAGAAATTGCAAATAGTTTTTTGCAGGTGATTCGAATCCGACTATCATGGCCCATATGAATGGTTATTAATTCATGTTTGAACGTATGCCATTTTACAATCCTCGGATATGTCGAGGAGTTTTTGGGTTGGTGAATGCTTGTAATAAATTATTCGCGCGTGGGACACCGATAGTTTACTGGTTTCA